GAATCAATTGACCAAACTCGTTGTCGCCAAGAAAGAGCTGTTCATCCACACCGGAGTAAAAGAACTCACATATGACCCACCGACGAGCCTATGAGAATTCTTTGAAAACTTTTGGATTTCTAGCTTACAATGACTCTTAGGTAGAAACTTTCTAACACATATTGCTGAATATTTCTGCCCTTAAACGCCGTCTGATTCGCTTTCCCCACAACACTTAAACCATTCTGGAGATTAAGACCACATCGTGCTTATAGCTAAAGAAGTTCAACCTGCTGCTAGAAAAGGAACGAAGGAGAGCCTCTATCGCTCCATCTGAGAGCGATTAAACTTTAAGAGTACGACCAAGTCAAACCAATTTAAAAAATTCTCTCTGCCTCCATTCTCTAGCAGAAAAAGGAACTAACATCTGTGGAACTCTTACGGTAAGAAATCGGAGAACAAAAAGGTTTAGTTGTCCACATGTAAAGTACGCGATGACACTTCTAAATACTGACTACTGAAAATTTATTACGTGCTCCACTATCTGGAATTTCTACCGTACACACTAGGAGATATGCCTGGTGAAGTCCCAATAAATAGTTCTCGAATTAGAAAAGCATTTTACAATGAATGCGTTCAATGGAACAGACTCCATTGTTTTCAGATCAAACTATATGGTGTGCCCAATAACATGTATGCATCTACTAAGTGTCGAAAGACTGATCCGAACGACTCACCTTGGGAAGCTTCAGCAGATTTCGTATTCGACGCAAGCTTTGTTGAAGCTCGGAACCAATCTCATTTTGAGATTTATGACTGAAAAGTGAGAACTATGATAAACGAATCCAAAATGGCACAAACTGTTTGCTGTCATGAAGAAGAAATTCACACTTATCATTATGAGATAGTAACTTGCTCAAATTTAATGATTTTCGCTCTGAAACGTGCAAATTTTGCCGTCCGACTGAGCACTACACTATTGTAAATGCACTCTCGGACATAAGTGACTTCGTTGCCATTTGACAAGTGAGAACGGTAGACGTTGCAAATTATTCACTACCTGACGGTCAACTTTTCCAACTTCTTTCATACGCTAAAGACGAAGAAGTGCGCAATCAAGCAGCTAACATGTAACTGAATATTCCAGTCTTCTTTTTTGGGTTTTACTAATAATCCTCAACACATACACTTCTGGCTTTTTGTGTATTTTTGTTCCAAGTACGAGGATTACGTACAAACACGTTTCTCATGACCACAGTCATCGGGCCCAGCAAAAATGAGTACTACGCAGCATTGGCTTTTCTTGTACAATGGCCGTTACAATTCGCACGATTTCACTTACAGAACATGGATTGCCGTCCATTCCATGCGTTCAGGTTTGACAATTAATATGAACGACTGCCCACCGTTCCTCATTGATAATGGCTCCTTTACTCAATATAACCGGGGACTCGAGTTAGCATGATACTAGCGAAGCTCACAAAATTCACTTGTAAAGTTACAATTGCTGTGTTGTACACGGTGAGTGTGTTGACGGCCTAGATTTTCCTGATACAAAGGAAATCAGAGAATACTGGCTATCACTATGTCGGTCCTCGGGAATCACGGATACTTATTAGAAATATTTGAAGTACCTCACAACAACTCAAACTCTGTCTCATTGCCGTCAAAGGACAGATACTCGAAAAAAGCAATTGATTTACTATCTACATTTGATTTACCGTGCAATTTTCTTTAGAAGAGCATTTCTTGTCGCTTCCGAAGCATCGTCTCGAACTAAAACACGAGAGATCGCGTGTATTTAGTGTGATGCCATCTTCGAACATCGTCAAATCCATTAATAGGAAATTCTCATAATCACACGCCGCTTCCGCTTGAAGTCTAAAATACCACAAGTATAATAATTTTATATAGTCTTGCAGAATGAAAGCTCTTAAATTTCAGAGTTATGCTGTTTATTTCACGCCACTCCTGTACATATGATTACCTTCCCGGAAATGAGTGCATACATGAAAAAATAGCAATACAGACATTATACTGGAATTATGTGGCTCGTAGTAGGAAGCAATAATGTGTAAAAAAGGAAGGAAGCAATGAGGGATAGATGAAAAATTGTTTCGGTGATTTTTTTGATTTTCGGGTGTTTTTGGGGAATACGAAGTTATACGACGGCAGAACACTCTCATGGTGTATGAGTGCAGGCATTCATCGAGGAAAGGAATTGGTAGAGGTTGTACGCTAATAGCTGAGGGTGATACACTTGTAATATACAATCAGTACCTTTCTTTCCTTGTGATAAATATGAATTCTCGCGTAGCTTCCCTAGTATTGGGCGTTCCCCGAAACTATGCACGTGTTTCCATAAACTCACTACCTCGAATTTCTGATTACTCACTTCAGCGATGTATTTAATTACTACAAAAAATTGTTACTCTGTGTAGAACTCAAATAACAATACTTCAGACCCACAACAAAAACCCTTCCAGTTTGACCCTCACTACTTATGAACGAAGCGAAGTCAATGCAACGAATCCAACCGGTCTCTGTGATGCCACTTTTCGTCTATTTAATGTGATTCTAGCCGCACTAATAAGTCAGAAACATCTAGAAACAGCCCGTGGTGTTTTCAGCAGGAAATTGCCTCAGCTTAGAGAGCAATGTTCGTCCTATGTGGAGTCGATGCCAGTTGTTCAACTTGATCAGCACCGAGAAACGGTCTCCCTGTTTGCCAGACCCTAACCCACATTACTTCGCAGTATGGTCGATGATTGAAAGCAAGGTCTCGCGAGTTTGGATCGGCTCTTGTGGTTAGTTCGGAGTAAATAAAAGTAGTGTGGAAAAACGTTTGGGAAGAGATAGTCGAGGCATTTCTACGTGCGACATTTAAGAACTTTGAAAGAGGCCTCGAGCCCTATTCCCGCCAATGCAGGACATATTGGGATTTATAATACTTGCTTCTTGCTGTCGAGTAATTTATTTATCCATTTCAGTTACACTCACCGTCCAGCTCAAAGAAGGGCAATATACGAGCACCGTTAATTTTGGGACAAGGGCCAATCGTAATATTGTGTCATGCATTTTAAAAACGCACAAATGAAGCGGATTCGAACTCTTTCCATAACAACTGCGACCAAATGCGTCACCCTACGAACTGATAGATGTAGAAGTCCGAATACTTACAACTCTCGGGTGCTGTTGATACGAGGAGTGTCGCGTCACAACGGTTGGGGCAACGTAAGATCCCGCGTGCACCTAGACAGAGATTTTAAGAAATGTTCGACAACTGTTTACAATCCAACCTCATTAACATCTCCACGATTTGAAGCGAATGACGTCACACTCACTTCACCAGGATTCTGAAAATGATCGGAAGAGATGCTTGACAAATTTTTTTTAAAAATACTAAACAAACCACTAGTGATAGAGGCACTACCGCGTGTTTGCCCTCCACTCCATGCACTTCAATTTTTTGAATTCCACCCAGCTCTCCGCTTCTCCGTGACGAAGCAGAGTTCGAATGGGACACATTCTCTTGCAATGGGCCAGGTGTATGAAGAGAATGTTGTGAGGGAGTTGTAGCGCCAGTATGTAAAACACGACGAGCTGATGAACTTGTTGAGGACGGGGGCCTAAAAGGATAGTTATTCTGGAGCATGCAATCAATTTCCTTCACACTTCATGAGAAATGTGTTCAGGTTCGTCCATAAATCAACCATGGGCAATGCAACCATTCTAATGACTCGATTCATAGAAATTTTCCACACTGAATATTTGAAATGATCATTTCGCGAAAAAAGTATTGGAAGTCCTATTTACACTACTTTTGTTATCATTTACCGGTAAACAAGTTGGACTTCGATTTGTTTCCTTTCATAGTAGCAAGGTGAATATCTAAACAATGGCAAAAAATAACCAAGATGAGGTCAAATCAATGTTCTGCACCTACAGCTCCAATCGATAATCTAGAAGTGATCGTGTGCGGTGATGTTACGGTCGTGTAGTCTATTTCAAACCACAACGTACATATATTTCTACGTTCTCTAGCATCTCATCTCAACAGTCCTCCTTTCATTTCCTTTGCTATCGATAAAACAATAATTTTACACGGTATTGCAGCAGCAGATTGTGTTAGCAATGAAATTCAAAGCTCACGAAAGTTCTCGAATCGTACGAATTATGGAATCAGCAAGTCGACTACTTACCCAGAAATTTTTGACGGCGTTCGAGCTTTGGCTGGAGTTCTTGCTCTCAGGGGAGGTACATCAATCTCCTCATCTCTGTATCGAGATGGTAGCTTCGATGTATCTCGCAACTTATATGGGGATGAAGCCTTCTCGCGAGCCTAGAGATGTAAGTGTTAATCAAGAAAAAAGGAAACAGGGCATGAGCAAAACATACAAAATGCAACAGGTGCGGGAACACAAAATTAGACTTTAGAAACGGGAGGAGGGCCGCGCGCGGGAAATTTTCAAAACTTCAATATTTTCGTTTCGGAAAAAGAAGCCGCGAAAGCGGTAAAATAAAAACGGAGAAGCTCACAATAACATAGCCCAACAATAAAACACTCACAACTGTACTTGGCATCGTTGCTACTTTCTTTCTAGCTGGACTTTTGACCGGCGATCGACCACTCATTCCTCGGGATGAACTTGCTCTTCGATGACCTGGAACATTGTATCTGTAGGCTTCAACATATATGAACTCTAATTAAAGAATCATAAAAAAACTAAGAACCTACCCGACGAGTTTGTTTTATAATTCGCGGCAATCGATGTTGTGCATTGCGGACTGCACCCGTCAAATTTTTCCGCGTCAAGCCACCGTCACCACTCGTCTGGGTGACTGGAGTTGTACCGCAGTTCGTTCGGCGCCAGAGTACTTGTACCGAATACGTGCACGAATTGATTGATCTCAGATCCTAATTCGCAAAATCTTGAACCTCTGTTTCTGCAGTATTCATTGTGTTGAGGTGAATAAAATGAGTGACGAGGAGTGTTTCGAAGCCTTATTATTCCACACTAGCACGAAAAATAGCAAAAAAGGGCACGAATCTGCATCATGACGATATAAGCGCATAAAGACAGCGTTGATCACCGTGCCATATCGCGACCACACTTTTTCTTATTCAGAAATACACCACGGCTCCCTCAGCCCGCGTTTTTTGAGGGGTTGAGGCTGCGGGGTGTGTGTGAGGCCGATGTCAGACTTTGCGAATCCAGCGATTCGCTAGCGAAACTATGTGCCAGCGGATCGAACGATGTACCAGCGACTCAACACTGTTTGAAAGTGGCGGGACTCCCTCTCGTTTGCATGTTGACTCTCGCCACTTTCCCGAGCTCTCATACCCTCTCACTCTCTCATGCCCTCGTGAGCCGGGAAAGTGGCGAGAGCCAACGTCAAAGGCTCACTACTTTTAAACAGTGTCAAGTCGCTGGTACATCGTTCGATCCGCTGGTGCACACCTCGATTCGCTGGTGCAACCATGTACTTGCCCTGAGACGCCGGTCGGATTCAGGGTGATGGACTCCCTGTTTCTGCAGTGCTGTGTTGATTCATACCAGCTGTCTCCACTCAGGCGTATCCATGCATGCTTGCGTGTGTGGTGCGCTCTGTGTGTGTGCGGTTGGTATCCTGCATGTCGGCACAGCCAAAAGCTTGCATTCAAGTGACTGGGAAGTACATGGGAAGTGCCTTGTTGCGCTCTAGAATAGCGTGGCTAACTACCTGAAGGCATATCCTAGCCCACACGACAGAGCCTGGCAAGCTACTCGTGTGCCTTCAATATGCCGAAAACAGCAATATGGATGGGCCTCATTCCCCTGAACCTGAGGGAGCCCCCAATACGGCAGCGTTGGGAAGGACCGCTCACGAGAGGCTGCTAGAATCTCAGGGCTCGGAAAGCCGAAACGAAGAAGTACTGAGATGGCGATCTGTACTCTGACGCTTGAATCTGAAGCTCACGTCGAAGACCCGATGATGCAAGCCAGGGATATCGAGTATGACGTCATCGGATTGACCGAGGCAAGAAGGGTCGTTTTCGATACTGGTGAAGTACTGT